CGTCGGGGGCCGCCTGAGGCTGGGCTTCCCTCGCTCGGAGGCGTCGCCTCTTCAGCGTGCCCCAAGTTAGCCTTGAAATTGCTTAAAAAGAAGCAGCGTGCCGGCAGCCTCGGAGCCGGGCACCAGGTAGCGGCACCGCCGCCGTCCAGGCTGGGTCCTCTCCACGGGGCTGGGGGTACCTCAGTGCCCATGGAGGAGCCGCACCAGCGAGCGTGTGGTTGAAGGGCCGTCTTCCACGGTAGGGCTTCGGTTCTTGCGGAGAAAGGGGCACTCGATGGCTTCAGCACACCCTGACTGAGAAAGTGATGTACCCACAGGGGAGGTGAAATGATTTAACGTGCCCTCCTCTTCCTCCTTTGTGTCCCTGTGCAGGAGTCTGGACTACCCTGATGGTTTTTTGGAGTTGAGGTAATGGCTGAAGTTGGTCGGCGGGAGACGGCTGGAGGCCCAGAGCACGGTCTGGGGTTTGCACAGCGCCGGTGATCTGACCCGCAGCCTTCTGCCTTCGCTGGGACCGGCAGGATGGGGAATAGTGGCTCAGCGGTGAAGGTCTGCACAGATCACCAAGGAGGCATCAACTGGCTGAGCCTGAGCCCGGACGGGCAGCGCCTGCTTACGGGTAGTGAAGATGGCACTGCGCGGCTCTGGAGCACTGCCGACAGCCAGTGCCATGGCCACTTCCAAGGTACAATATCTTCTTTTTGCCTATTTTTTGAGTCTAAAGCCTGGCACAGGCCACACAGCATGTTCTGGTCTCTTTCAGTCACTGTAGCCTGCTGGGCAGCCAAAATCATGCTTGTTTTGTTTTGTGGTTTTTTTTGAGTATTGGTTACAGTAATGTTAAGCAGAAGCTGTTTCAACCCAAAACAGGTTACCAGCGCTACTGAATGCATGGATCCTTTTACCCCAGCGTGCAGAACATAGCAGTTGATTAACTTACCTCTCTTTCCGGAAGCCCTCTGGTTTACACCCTGATGAAATCTGGACTTTTTGTTATTCTCTCTCTCTCTCTCTTTTCTTTTCTTTTTTTTTTTGTGTGTCCTTTTAATCATCTCATTTTCCAGACAATCTTTATTTAGAATGTCTTGACCCAGAAGTCTGGAAGGAAACCTTACTAAATAGGCTATTTTTTCCCCACGTTTGACACACAGAAATGTTAATTGCTGGGCTTTCTCATTTTAAATTGATTTTGCATTTTAAACAAAATTTATTAACCTTAAACTAGCATCTCAATAATAACAAAGAAAAGAAAAACTCTGTAGAAATTACAGTCATGCAGGAGTCAGATGTGGACTAAAGATGTTCGTATTCTCACTCACTCTTAATATAGGGGGGGAAAAAAGCTCTTAAATTTGGAATTTCTGATCCTTTTTTCTTCCAAAGAAGAGATCACATTGCTGTGATTTTTTTTTGTTGTTTGTTTGTTTTCTTGCTTGCTTTTAACTAAGGAGTATTGTCTTTTTTTCCTCACATCCTGCCATGGTTCTAGCTCCTGGAAAACTCACTGCATTTGCTTTAGGCTTAGAAATCCCTTTAAACCACTAATTAACTTTTAACTAGAAAGAGAAATATATTGGATAATATTCAGAATCTGGCCTATGTACTGCTGGTGTTTGGGTGAACTCTAAAGAAGGTTGGCTAGATGGTTTGTGAACTGTCAGTCGAATCAGATAATTGTATGTCTTTTATGCTTATGCACACACACAGTTGTTGCGTAAATTTATATTGTACAAGCTATAATTACTGAAAAACCTGTATCTATAACACAATTTCAAGGTTCCACCGCAGCATAACCAACAGACTTCTGTGGTGGCTGCTTTTGACCAGACCAGCACCAGACCTTGTCTGCCACAGGGGGTTTTGGCATCCTTTGTGATGATTAAAATCTGACTGACAGACTTTGGTGCGGTAACCAAGATGCTTTTTTGATCTTCTCAGAGCAGGATTACATGATACTGTAAGAAAAATCCCGGTGGTTGAAACCTGTCCCATTTAAGCCGCAAAAAATTTTCACAAAAATGTGAGGATGGGTATAGTTTTGCTTATAGCCCTGGTGATCTGTTTAATTTTTGGCATCTGGTGAATTTGCTTAAGAGAAAACAAGACTTGTGTTTGTAATGTGGATTCTGGTTCGCTTTTGAACTTCAACAAAGCTTTTGAACTACAGGAGTTGTGGTAAAATCTGGTTTTTGCAGTCAGTGAAACAAAGTGTTTTACTGGGCAGTCTGCTTTCCCTCTTTTTTTTTTTTTTTACCATCCCTTTATTCTACAACATGATTCTGTTTTTCTAATATCTTTGTCTGTAGATCTGTCTCTCTTTAATCACATTTGTCCTTCTTATATTTTTTTCTTTTCTCCTCAAAGAATAGTGTTATTTAAATCACAGTGGGGCCCACCAGCTTCAACCAAAGTCTGGGGCTCTCTTGTGATAGTGACTTAAGAGGAAACAGTTTTGATCTTGAAAGCTTACAGTCTAAATAACTAAAACAGAAGAGTGCAAGATAATACTATTCCAACGATTAGAGAGGTGACAACAATTTCACACAAGAGATCTTGGACAAAGCTGGGACTTGAATCCTAAGGTGATTTTTAAATGCGGTGCATTTTAATGATACAATAGAAAAATGACACATCTTGCTAAGCGACAACAAAAGTTTAAGGTTGTAATATTGATTCCTCTTTGCTAGCATTGCCCTGTTTTTCAGCATGAAATTTTTAGAGTAGCAGTTGTGCCTATTTTTATTGTAACTGTAGAATCCCAACATACTCTGAATGCTGTATAAATAATTGTGCTCTTATTCTTTCTTTCTGTGTCATTTCCTTAAAGGTATACTGATATTTTGAAAATTGTGTGTTTTATTCATGTTACTAGTCGTAATGGGGAAATTATTGGCCGCCTTTTTAGCAGATATGTTTTCTTGTTTGCGTTTCATTCTGCTTGGACAATGAAACTAAATTTGCTGGTAAGTCTCATGTTGCTTCCTTTTTTCATAGTTTCACGCTTTAATTTAGGGCTGTTTGTGTCTTAACAATCAATGGGCTGGGTTGAAATGCAGCCTTTTTTTCCTGACTTCAGAAGAAGGAAGCAAAAGCATTTCTTCATTAAAAAAATGAGCCAATTTTTTACTGGTTTTAAACTTCAGTAGTCTGAGTTTTATTATAGTGATATTAATTTAGCTCATTAAGTTTTTATAATACTGTTCGATCTACCTGATTGGTGGAACTGTACTGTTTTACTCTTTCACTTAATCCTTATAATGATGAAGCAGTTTTCTGCTGTTAATTAAAAATGTTGTGTTTTATACAAATCCTTACATGTGAAGAACGTGGTGGTGCATTTAAAACTAGAGTTTCAGTCTGTTTGTTTGTTTTATTTTTCTTTTAGTTAAGGTAAAGAGCTGACTAGTCTGTCCTGCTTGCATGCACAGTGATTCAATTTATTTCCTTTGTTATTCCTAGGACATGAAAGTTACATCACCTTTTGCCACTTAGAAAATGAGGCTGCCTTCACGTGTAGCGCAGATCATACCATTCGAAAGTGGGATGTGATGACAGGTCAGTGCCTGGCCATTTACCGAGGACACACATCAATTGTTAACAGGTTGGTTCTGTGGAGTTCTTCCCTTGTGTTCCTGTAATCTATTATCACGTACATTGTCATTTTACTGCAATTCTCCATTGCTACACTAATAAAATGGGTTGTGTAAACCTTTGAGTTCATGCTACACGTGTTCTGTGCTGTAATGATTAGTTTTCCTAGCAACAGTGCTGACACATCCATAGACAGCAGATAGGAGAGAAATGAAAGGCACACAGCAGGGGAATTGAATCCAGGGCTAGGAATGAAATTCCAGAAGAAATTAGTCAATTGATAACAGATGCCTCTGATAAATAGATGTAAAAACATCACGTCAAGCCTTTGTGTCAGTAAGAGGGATGAAGTCAGGGCTTTTTCTGGAATTACTATTCCTGTTTGTGCAAATGAAGTTTAACATTAAACTGATTGTGCGTGACTGATTGGCCTGTCAATTTAAAGTGCCTCTTAATAGTTGGACTGGATTTAATTAATGATAAATAGAGCAGCCAAAGATTGGTATTCTTTTCTTACTTTTTTTTTTGGCGGGCGGGTGGTTTTTTTTTGTTCCTTACTAAACTCAAAACACATACGATGTGTAGCTAGATTCTGTAAATAGTTAGGAAGGCTGGCTCTGTCTGTATTTTGGCACTGGCCTGATTTTTGCTTGGATCAGCAAATGGGAAATGTGTTCCCTATTCACATGACTTTGTTGCCAGTTTGAAAGGTCCCAGAGGACCAAACTCAGCTGACAAAGACGACAGGTTCTGGTATTCCCTATCTCTAGTTTGGAAGTGTGAACTGTAGATATTTTTCTGTTATATGTTTTTGCAGCTACTACTCATTATTTTGGAGGTCCAGTAAGTTGAATTCTTGAGCTGTAATCTCTGATTTGCTCTTCAGTTATGTCATAAGTGGGGTGCTCTTGCTCTACCTTTTTTGAGATCCTGGGCTAAGTGACATTAGGTGTATATCTCTTTTCCTGCACTCTCTCTATTTGATGATGGAAAGATGATTATCTTTGCACATTGTCAGTTACAGTTCAGGTTCCTGGAATGCGTGTGGGTTTTGGGTTTTTTTGTTGTTGTTATTTTAATTCCAAGCTATTTTCATAGGTCAGTTTATAAATAATTATTTGCAAAGAAATACTAATAAATATGTTACCAAGAATGAGTTATTTTTTTTAAAAAACAAACAAAAAAAACCCCAACAAACAAAAACCACAAGAAACTCTTAGCTAGTATATATAACTTATGAAAATTACATAATAGTGCTGCTGGAAAAGATTTTAGAAAAACACAAATGCCCAAAGTTACAATGCGATAGTGTAAATATGCCTACATCAGTGTGCCTGAACAAGGGGTCTCAATTTTAAAAGTAGAAACAGGGAAGTGTTTGGGTTTTTTTTTGTTTTTTTAAAAAATCCAACAAAGAAGTTCATAAATAATGCGTATTAAACAGTGATGCTGAATTGGGGTTATGTGTTCATGCTGCTGTTTCTAACTTTGGGGTGCTTGGCATTGAAATTGTGACAAAAAATGGTTATGTAAAAGGAATGATACTGTTCATACACGCAAACTTTATTTTTTGCAGGATCCTGGTTGCCAAAGACTATCTCTTTAGTGGCTCCTATGACAGGACAGCCCGCTGTTGGAGTGTGGACAAGGAGAAACAAATCCAGGAATTCCGGGGCCATCGGAACTGTGTCCTGACTCTAGCTCACTATTCCTCCAGGGATGTTCTTGAAGAGGAGGAGGAGGAAGAGGAGGAGGAGGAGAAAGTGAGCAGAGACCTCCTGGTGACAGGTAGCACAGACTGCACTGTTAAGGTCTGGTGGGTGTCCAGTGGGCGCTGTTACCAGACGCTGCTGGGACACACTGGGGCTGTCTTATGCCTTATACTTGACGCACCAAACAGGGAGCTGTTTTCTGGCAGCACGGATTATACCATTCGAACGTGGAATATTGTCACTGGTGAGCAGTTGAAAGTGTTCAAAGAGCATCAAGGATCAGTAATTTGCCTAGAGGTAAGAACAGAGGCTTCTTCAAGAGCCTTCGAAGGGGGTATCCATATCCTAACTCATGTGGGTCTCAGCTGTCTTTTCTTTCATAAAGAAGCT